AAATAACAAAACAGAATACATTAAATAACAGAAAAGACACAAAAACTGACAGAAAAAGAGACTTTAAATAACAGACAATACCCAAAAATAACTAAAAAGTACACATTTAACATCAGAAAAAAAAAAAAAAGAGATTTTAACCATCTAGATTTCTGCTTCCAGCAGAGGCTTTCAGAGGAACATAAAGAGGCTTTGGCTGGAACAATGCTGTTGTTGGAAGGAAGTGTGATTGTGTGAGATAGAAATGCCGAACATGAGAGCTCAGAATAGCCTCGTTTAGCGAGGCCATAATTAGCGTTTAATGACTGTTTATCGTGGAACTTATTGTTCGAGCGTGGATTGTTCTGTAATCACCAAAGACAGAACAAACAAACCAGAGATTTTGTCTGTGAGCAGATTCCATATTCAGGCGTTCGCCCCCATGTTTCAGGGAGGATTTATTATTAAAAAGATCCTTTTTCTGCTTCTGGGGATCCATTCAAAAGCAGATTTCTGCATTTTGGTGAAAACCAGTTCAGAGATTTGACTTTTTTTGGGAAGAAACAGCTCAATATTAGTTTTTTTTCCTACTTTTCAATATTTCTTTGACCAGTGTAGTCTCGTCTGAATGTTTTTATCTCCAGAAAACAGGCTGAAAATCTCAAGTTAAAGACATAAACTCACTTATTGTAACAAACAAATGAGATAAAGGAATACTTCTGGTTCTTTTCCTCTCTCTGGTTCTGGTTCTCTCTCTGGTCCTGGTCCTCTCTCTGGTCCTGGTCCTGGTCCTGGACCTGGTCCTGGCTCAGGTCCTGGTCCTGGTCCTGGTTCTTTTCCTCTCTCTGGTCCTGGACCTGGTCCTGGTCCTCTCTCTGGCCCTGGTCCTGGTTCTGGTTGGTTCTGACCCAGAGGTCCTTTCAAACAAACCAGAGATTTTGTCTGTGAGCAGATTCCTGAATCAGACCATGTTTCAGGGATTTTTATTTAAAAGATCCTTTTTCTGCTTCTAGGGATCCATTCAAAAGCAGATTTACAGGACTGTCTCAGAAAATTAGAATATTGTGATAAAGTTCTTGGT